AAAAAAAAAAAAAAAAAAAAAAAAAAAAAAAAAAAAAAAAAAAAAAAAAAAACCGAAAATTCCGCAGGAAATGGGAGACGGGTCAAAACTGACCCGGTATTGTCGTTCTCGCGGTGGTCGTGAAAAAAAAGCTCTAGCTACTCGAACTTTATTTTTCAGTGGTTTTTCTTTTAAATTCATATAATTTAATGTTTTTGTGGAGCTATTTGGATTGCATTTTGCAAAAAGGAACCACTAGCATTGCAATGATGCTAAGATTGTGCAACTTCATCTTTTGCAATAAAATTGCGGAAATCGTGAAAAACAATGAAATTTAGATGGTAGTTTTTGTCTTAAATTTACAGTTTTTAGCGAGTAAAATAGAAACTATTAATGGATAATTGGGTTTTTCCTCCAAGACAAAAGAAGTTGCACAATCTTAGCAACATTGCAATGCTAGTGGTTACTTTTTGCATAATGCAATCCATTTGTGAAGGTAAAGTTTCCAGGGGAAGCGGGTGAAAAATTGGCATTTCTTTTACGAAGTGCCGCGCCGCGGCGGGCAGCGAGAGCGACCAGCGTGACACGCGCACTAGCGCCTACAAACCTAACAGGGATACTTCACGCATTGCGCAATGCGTGAAGTATCCCTGTTAGGTTTGTAGGTGCTAGTGCGCGTTCCGCGCTGGCAGCACGCCGCGCCGGGTCAAAAATGACCCATGCTTGACAGACTAGGGTTAAAGGCACGAGGATTGGAAGGAGGGAAGGGGTTGGACCGAAAAATACCAAGGGGCGCAGCCCTCTGGAAAACGGTTTAAAATTAATCGAATTTGTGGTTAATTTCCTCCCGAGTGCTTCTTCATATGCTTATTCTTCGCACTGACAGTTCCGAAGAACTTCTTGCAAGTAGTGCAGATCGTAGCTCCTTCGTGAATTTGTCTGTGATCTTTCAGCTTCTTCGACGTATTAAATTTTGCAGGGCATTAATCACATTCGTAACCTTTTGAAAAAGAAAAATGAAACTATCAGAAAAAAAATTGACGATGTTTAAGCATCGCTTCTTCTCAAGTTGACGCACGTTATACATTATTGACAAAAACAACCCAGAGAGCAGTCCTCAAGATTTTTTTTTTTCTTTTCATCATTGAGTAGTAAGACTCGTTTCGTAACCTCTGAAAGTAAATACAGTTCAGTCTTTCGATTCGCCATTTTTACCCGGACTGTAATTTTAAGGTGTGAAGTAAAAAAGAGGGTGGTCGCATCTTCAGGATTGTTTACCCTGTGACGTAGATAGGTACACAGAGAAATGATTGAATGAATATAAAAAAAAAATTTGAAGGCCGTGACCGTGCACTTTATGCACTTAAAAAAATTAATGTGGAAAAAAGTTTTAATTGGCCCATAAGACGCGTCTCGCTGTCTGACGTTTTAACCCCGGAACATCCTTTAACTTTGAATTTTGTGAAATCTTCGAAATACCAGTTATTAGGGAAATGAAGTCAATTTACTTCAAATATTTCAAAGATTCTGCACCAAGGATTGTCAGAAATTAATCCTTAACCATCATTGCCATCCTTATTTAACCATTATTCACTGAAATCACACAAAAGGAGCTTATTTTTTGACTGACCTTGTTCGAGTGTCTGAGGACCTGAAAAAAAACGGATTCATTATTAATTAAGTACGTATATTCCCTTACAAGAGAAATCAGGATAAATAATTAAAATCGTTAGTCAATACAAAATATTCTCCACAAAAGCCGGAAAAGTCGTTAGCCAGTACATAATAT